TTGTTGAGTACTACAGCGTTTGCGTGAGCGTTGGCTGTACGAGTAGTCGCTGATGGAGTTGTTTTACCAGCGTCTTTTTTCGAGTTGCAACTTTGTCTTTCATATATCACGACATCGTTTTGATCAAGCGTTTTGCGGCTATGAGTAAGAGTAATCCGACCCCCCCCCTCGTTCTAGCGCCCAACTGTGGGAACCGAAATTCACACTTTTCGATTTCCGTTAAATAAGGAAACTTAGGAAAATCCTAATTTTCCAGAGGAACCGGATCTCTGCGAAAGCCAACGACAAGTAACCAAATAAATGCGGAAAATATGAAAAACGTAATAAAACAAATTTAAAGAAAAAGTAGATCTTATTTCGATTTCGCGTAAGAGCGTTGCGATCATTACAAGGGTTTACAAAGGCTTTGGCCGCAGGGCCGTCAGCGACTTATCAACATAAAAACCTTAAACCTAATCGAGTCGCAGCTCGATAACAAAAGACGGAAAAAGATAAGAAAAAGGATTTGAATGATTTTGGACTGAACCTTATGAAAGGCTGCCTACGTACCCCTTTCGAGGATCAAGTAGAACGTAGTTCAGTTTATTGAGCTGGACAAGAGATCGAACTGCCTGGGCGAGTTCGTCTAGTGATTGAGCGCCAGTCATAGAAACCGAACTTGTCGAGAAAAAGCCTAAGTTTCTAAGTGCAGAAAATTCTAAGTCTAGAAAAGTTGTAAAAAGTCTCAGATGATAGCTCTAAAATTCGTCCCCTTGCTTCTTCCCTATGCCTCTTGCTTATATACTCCCTCTTAGGCGGTTTTAGTCTTTCCATTTCGCCCGAATTCGAGTTTATCGGGAATCTTCCATTTTTCTTGATCCTTCCTTTTTTTCCCGCGGAAATCTTCTATTTATCTTCAAACTTGCCATTTATCTTCAAAATTGACATTTATCTTCCTTCTGCGAGTAAACCATCAAAACGTTATCGTATCTTTGGGTTAGATTTCGTTAAGATCGCGAGATTGGCTTTTATCGCGTTTTGGGACCTTTCGGGCCGTTTTACGATAAATCCGTTTTACGACTTCTTACGAGATCGTTTCTTGATCCGATGCCGTTTTTAGTAAATTCCCCGGATTAATCGTAAAGTTTAGCTACGTTCGTTTCCCGGTTAATCATTGTCGTTTTTTACGATTTTCTCGACGTTATTATTAAAAATGCGTTTTTTATGATTTTAACAAAAAATCTCGAATAAATCGTATAATTTAGGCAATGTTCGGTGTTTCATTTAAACATTTCCGTTTTATACGATTTCCTTGATTTCTTTCCGAGAAAACAAAGTTTTACGGTTTTTATCGGATCGAGATGAAATGGGAGACATTTTGACCGTGGTTCGGAACACGACCGTGTCGAAGGACGTAAGCACTGAATCGGGGATACGGGAGATCGAGGCTCGGGATGGTTGGTTCGACTTCGAGTTTTATAAAACGATTCTTCGAGTCTTATAAAACGAGACTCTGAGTTTTATAAAACGATTCTTCGAGTTTTATAAAACGATTCTTCGAGTTTTATAAAACGATTCTTCGAGTTTTATAAAATGATTCTTTGAGTTTTATAAAACGATTTCTTTTATATTTTTGCGGAGACTTTTTACCATTGATTCCGTCGTGACCGATTTTGACACCAACACCAGGTAGTCCTTTTTCAAACACTCTTGAGTAACTCATCCTCTCTGATCTTGACACATACTGACCCTTTGTTCTGTGACGTGTCTTTGGAGGTATTCTTGTCTACTCTGGAGTTACCTGGCGTGGCTGTTCCTTTCTCAGTGAAGGTTAACAAGTTCGCAGCATAGCTGGAACTTTTGACCCGGTACGGTCTTAGTGAGAAAATCTGCTGGATTAACTGAAGTGGATCTTGTTAAACACTGCAACTCCATCTGCTATTAGATCCCTGATGAAGTGGAACTTAGTGTCATTGTGATTCGTTCTCTCATGATGAACTGGATTCTTTGCTAAAGCTATAGCACTCTGTGAATCACAATGCAGTTGAACACTGTCCTGCTTGAATCCTAACTCAGCACATAATTCCTTTAACAACATACCTTCCTTTGCTGCCTCATTTACTACCATGTACTCTGCTTCTGTGGTGGAAAGAGCAACCACAGACTGCAGACATGACTTCCATGAAACCGTGTTTCCTCCAACCTTGAAAACATAACCTGTAACTGATCTACGCCTGTCCAAGTCTGTTGCATAGTCTGAATCTTAGTAACCTTCAATAATGAACTTTGTATGCTTCTTGAATGTTAGGTTGATCTTTGATGCTCCCATTAGATACTTTAACACCCATTTAATTGCTTCCCAATGTTCTCTGCTGGGCTTACTCATGAACCTGCTGATAAACCCCACAGCGAAGCCTTGGTCTGGTCTTGAGCCGACCATAGCATACATTAAGCTCCCCACAGCACTGGCTCATGGAATGTTCTCCATATACGGTGCTTCCATCTTCCATTCTTTCTCAGTTAAACTCCTCAAGACGAAGTGTGCAGCTGTAGGCCTAATCACTGAACGTGCTTCCAGCATCCCAAATGTTTTTAATACCTTTTCAATATAGGTATCCTGCGAAAATATATATCAGTGTGCCCTTCTTTATGTCCCTTCGAATATCCATACCTAGGATCCTCGAAGCCTGACCCATATCCTTCATTTTGAATTCCCCATTTAGCCTCTCTTTGAGTTCCTTGATCACCTTCTTATTCCCTGATGCAATGAGTATGTCATCGACATAAAGCAATAAGTAGATAGCATTATCAATTTGTGCATCCCTGACGTACACACATGTATCCTTAGTGCTCTTGTCAAAAAACTGATCTTTCATGAAGCTATCAAACCGCTGATTCCATCTTCTTGGAGATTTCTTCAACCCATAAAGTAACTTTCTCAATAAACACACATTATTCTCATCTTCTGGTTTTATGAACCCTTCTGGCTGAGACATTAAGATTCTTTCTTCTAGACTTCCATGTAGAAAAGCAGTCTAAACATCCATCTGTTCCAATTTGAAATCCATATTCACAACAACTGATAGCATGAACCTGATGGAGACGTGTTTCACCACTGGCGAGAAGATCTCAATGTAGTCAACTCCCTCAGTTTGTGAATACCCCTTTACTAATAGTCTCCCTTTGTACCTCTCGTCTTCCACTCCTGGTATACCTCGTTTGATCTTAAAAATCCACTTGCACCCAATCAACTTCTGCTTGTCTGGTTTGTCGGTCAAATCTCATGTCATGTTCTTTGTATATGAATCCATCTCTTCTTGTGCAGCCTTTTTCCACAGCTTTCTATTTTTGCTTCTCATCGCCTCAGCATATGATCTTGGTTCATCAACTTCCAAGTCTTCAGCAGTAGTTAAAGCATAGGCCACAAAATTCTCATCCTCATACTTTGATGGAGGTCTCACGTTCCTCCTTCTTGGCTAAAACCTTCATACTCTTCAGATTCATGTGTCCAAGTCTTGAGTGCCACAGACTTGTCCAATCACACGCTTCGTTGGACAAGTTTGCCTCGCCCTTCAACACTGATCCTTGCAGATAATACATCCCTTGATGATATTTTTCAGAGATCACCTTTTTATCATCCTTAGGTCGAGACTTTGACCTACCAAATCTGCTCTTCGATCTTCCCTTTCCATTGCTCCCACTGCCACGGTTTGACCTGTTATCTGATCTGCCTCTGTCAACATACAATCATTCCCCTGCGGACTTAGTACCCTTTCCGCTTTCAGTCAGCTCTCTTTCCTTTGACCTTGCAGCTCTAGTAACCTCGTTGAGACTCAAAGTGTCTCTACCATACTTTAGAGTTTCTTTCAACTGATCATACCGGTGCGATAGTGAACTCAATAACAAGATGGCTTGTACCTCCTCAGACACTTCTACTTGTAGATTGTTGAGGTCTGCCACCAGTTTCAGAAAGTCATCGACGTTCTCATCGATACTCTTAGAATCAGACATCTTGAATGTATAGAACCTTAGCTAAAGGTAGATTCTATTCGGCAAAGATGTCTCCATGAACAACTTGTTTAATGTTGACCACATTGATGCAGCTGTTTCGCAGTGTGTGATCTTACGCATGACTTTACCACCCACGTTCAACACAATCAAATCCTTTGCCTTCTCATATTTCTAAAACTTGACTGGATCTATATCCGAAACTATCTCTGCAACTCCTGCTAGTCCCTTTTGTGGATCTTTCATAGTCGCCTCAAGCTCTTCCTCTGCAGTAGGTGGATCCTTAAGCAACTTATCATCATCCAGAGTCTCTTCAGACCCAGTACCCCGAAGTGTGCCATCATCCTGACCTTCCACAGAGAGAAATCCCCAGTAGCCTCAAACCTGTCCACTTCAATCCGCGAGTTGGACAAGCTGACCATCCTCTTAGCTTCCACAGAGAGAAATCACACGTCTTGAACCTGAGAGATCTGATACCACTTTGTTACGTTTTCAGCTTCGTATGATTCTCAACCTAAGCGACCAGCTTGTTACTTGAACAATTAAGTAAATGACACAAGCAACTTTAACGAGTTCCCGGCCTCTAGCGCGGTATGTCTTGTGGGCGAACTCTTGCTCCCAAACTCCACTAGATCAATAAAGAGTACAAGAACCAATCACTTATAAAACCGTGATGGTTTAGAGAACACCAAGAAACACAAGTAGTCTCAAGGCCTTTAAGCTAGAACAATATGAGCTCAACAATGTTCTCTATGTTTAGACTAATGTCTCTGTCTCTCTTGTGTAGCTTGACTCTTTCTCTGCGTGATCTCTTGTGGCTGAAGAAGAAGACGGTTTACTTTGACTTGACCTAATCACACATATTAAATGAGTCTTTATCCTAATGGGTTTTGTCAACTAAACCCATAGGTTGTCCGCGCATAACTTATGCAGACCGGCTCAACATTGAACGGGTCCGATTGGGCCTTAACCAAACCTCACATATACATATCTCTATTTTGAAAGTGATTTGGATGATCAAAAGGAAAGCTTTGATTAAGGACTTCGCTGCAGCTTACCAAACCGAGTGTCTTTCTTATTGCCGAGATCTTCTGGAGCTCCAAAAGAGAAGGGACGAGGTTAGCAAATCTATCATTCATTGTGAAGGGGACATAGACTGGTGTTCAAGGCCGTTCTGAGTATAACTGAATGAGACATCCACCTTGGCCCCCACATTTAAAGTATTTAACTAAAATATGAATCATCGGTCCTGCTGGTGTTGTAACATGTTTTTTTAATTTGCTCTTTTTTTTTTTGCAGCCGTTTGTGGACACACAAGATCTGAGAAAAGAAACGTTGAGGTCTTCTTCCAAACGAGCTAATTAAAAAAACGGTAATATTTTGTTTGATGCTTAACTCTACGATGGTATGATGATGTTTCTTGATCATTTCTCTCATATTTTAGATTGAAGTGAAAAAAAAGCTTGGTATTTTATTTAATTTATCTATATAGTATAACATACAGTATTTACACATTAACAAACCGGAATCACCCTTTCTAAACACATCTCTTTAACTAGACCAAGAAAAAATTCGGTAAACCGGTCTGAGACAATCAACAGCATGCTTAGCCTTCAGACAGAATCTCTGGAACCAGTTCGTGTCAGGAGTAGAAGCAATCATCGAAGACTGGAGATACATTGAAGCTGCTCTTTTCACGAGTTCGTTCCTAATGGCAATATTTGATGAATCGATTTCTGACAAGAGAACCCCGTCTTGTGAAGATATAGATTGGCAAAAGAATGAACCAAAACCATCAGAACTCGAGATCACATCTTTCAAGCTCGTGTACCGGAGATTGTTGTGATCATTGTCGTCCGAGATAAAGAGGAAGGCTGGTTTTTCTAACATTTGGAAACCTTGTCTCCATATTCGTCAAAGGAGTTAAATTTTGGGGAGGCTAATGAGTTTAAATATCTTCACCTGTTCTAGTCGACCGGTGATGCCTTTTATTTAGGCAGAATTATCGGAAAGGCACTAAATTTTATGGACTTTCTACTAATTAGATCGTATATTGAGGAGTCTTGAACAGACATATAAACCACACTAAACCAAACCAACGTTTAAAAACCGAAACCCAAAGCAAATTTTATTTGTTACGAGATCTTGTTAACCAGATTAAATGTGACGCCAACCAAAAGGTACAGTCATAATAAGATACTATAATTTGACCCGCACGGGGGTACGGGTATAGGGGTGTCAAAATGGGTCATGACCTATGGGTTGACCCAACCCAAATTGACTCATTAATCCAAATGAACTGTTTATTTTTGACCCAATAGGTTAATGGGTTAACAGGTTAATGGGTTAACAGGTTAATCGGTTAACAGGTTAATGGGTTAACAAGTTAATGGGTCTATTGAGTTTGGGTCAACCCCCACCTATTTAGTTTTTAAGTAAAATCAAAAATTAAAAACAAACCCCATTAACTCCAAATTAAAATTGTCCAGTTAGACTCACGCATCACGTTTTCCCGCCAAAACCGCAAAATCACGTTTTCCCGCCAAAACCGCAAAATTACTTTTCCCCGACAAAGCCGAAAACCATGTTTTCCCGCCAAAACGACAAAACTACGTTTTCCCCCCAAAACCGCAAAATCACGTTTTTCGCCAAAACTGCAAAACAACGTTTTCCCGCCAAAACCGGAAAATCACGTTTTCCCGCCAAAACCACAAATTACGTCTTCCCGCCAAAATCGGAAAATCACATTTTCCCGCCAAAACCACAAATTACGTTTTCCCGCCAAAACCGGAAAATCACGTTTTCCCGCCAAAACCGCAAATTACATTTTCCCGCCAAAACCGAAAAACACGTTTTCCCGCCAAAACCGGAAAACCACGTTTTCCCGCCAAAATCGGAAAATCACGTTTTCCCGCCAAAATCGGAAAATCACGTTTTCCCGCCAAACCTGCAAAACCACGTTTTCCCGCCAAAATGCAGAACCACGTTTTCCGCCAAAACCAGAAAATCACGTTTTCCCGCCAAAACCGCAAAATCACGTTTTCCCACCAAAACCCCAAAATCACGTTTTCCCGTAAAAACCACAAATCACGTTTTCCCGCAAAAACCACAAATCACGTTTTCCCGCTAAAGCCAAACCACGTTTTCCTGCCAAAACCACAAAACTACGTTTTCCCGCCAAAACCGCAAAATCACGTTTTTTCGCCAAAACTGCAAAACAACGTTTTCCCGCCAAAACCAGAAAATCACGTTTTCTCGTCAAAACCGCAAATTACGTTTTCTTGCCAAAATCGTAAAATCACGTTTTCCCGCCAAAACCTCAAAATCACGTTTTCCCGCCAAAACCGCAAAATCACGTTTTCCCGCCAAATCCGAAAACCACGTTTTCCCGCCAAAACCACAAAACTACGTTTTCCCGCCAAAACCGAAAAATCTCATGATTTTTCCGCCAAAACCGCTTAATCATTTCTCACTAAAATCGCAATATTTTTCCCACAAAAAATCATGTTTTCCCGCCACCTAAAATCATGTTTAACACTATTTATATTAATTGGATTCTGCAAAATTCCATTTAAAATAGTTTATTTTGGGTTTGGACAAAGATGTTGGGTTGATGGGTTAACCATTAACCCATATGACCCATTTGACCCATTTTGACACCCCTATACGGGTATTTGATTTTATAATTTTCTTTTTAGGTATTTTATTTACATGTAGAGAAAAAATATTATTTTATAATATAAATGTTTAATAACAATTTTTTATTTGTACATAATATTATACTATAATTTTGTAACTTAATGCAATTTGATGTAATTGTACTATTCATATATTAACATATTGTTTTTTGTTAATTTATTTTGAAATGAAACAACATATTAAAAATTAATTTTTTGCATTAGTTTTCTGTGAACTATCATTAATATTATGATATACTTTTTGAAAATTTAATTCTCGAAATTTATATTTACCTAATTTAAATAAGATTATACTATATTTAAAAATTAATTTATATAATATATATTAAAAATTTAGTTTTTGTTTTTATTTTTACAACAAAGAAATAACAATCATAGAAATTAATTAATTTAAATTGATTTTAAATGCAGCGGTAGAAAGTGTAAAGAAAAAAAAATACAAGGAAATATTTAATTTATTGTTAATGTAATGACTAAATATGTTAATAAAAGAAAGTACTTAATCTATTATCCATGTTTCCAAACAGTACCAATGTGTACTTCAACTTTAATAATATAGATACTCGATGAGTGAGCTTTTTAAAAGATATGTTATATTTAAATATATATTTTGTAATCAATAACCTTTTTTTTTTGATGAAATGTTAAATTTATAGATCATCATGAAAAAATGTTTATTTACAAAGCATGTGTGTACTAAACTTCTATCTTTACCAAATATGGGCACTAAACCAACGCTGAAGTAACCCTTCTAGGCCTCGTTTCTCTTGATATCGTGTTGACACAATCCTTTGCCTAATTGTTTTATCAATTATCCTTGCAAGCTGCTGCACTGTCCTAGCTTTATGTGTGTGCCTTATTTCATTTCTTCACGCTATACTTTGTAAATAGTCACTTGAAAAGCTAACCACGGGAGAATATAGGCAAGCCTGTCATGCACCATACTTAGGATTCTGGCCATTATCTCTGCCCAGTCAGGCGTAGGGGCTGGTCTCAGCAATGAACCAATGACCTGCAACCATAAACCATATGTATACAGGCAAGCAAAAAACAGATGGCCTCTCGTTTCCTCCGGCTCCCCACAAAATGGATACCCTTGCCTTAAACCCCATGCTCTCATTCTTACTCCTGTGGAGAGTCTATTCTTTACTGCTAACCAAGTTATAAACGCAAATCGCAGCACCCCTTGCTTAAACCAAATCAGTTGAAACCAATCTACCTTAGCGTGGCTAGTACGAATGATGTTCCATGTGTTGTGTGCGGAGAACTCCTTCCCAAACTCACCTTCTCCTCTTTTCTACATAGCTACATCATTACTATTTTGCATCTAAGCTATAGGAAAAGCTTTTATCTCCGAGATCACATGTTGGATGTTCCTGTCCCTAACATTTCGAAACCTCCATTGATTATCAACCATGACATCTACTATCCTTGCACTCTGACCAATACCAAGCTTTTGAGTTCCACATTCCCCAATAAACTCAATCAAACGCCCAATGGGGTGCCATAGATCAGTCCAGAAACCAACAGAGCTGCTAGAATGAACTTTTATACGTAGAAATTGCTTCGCCACAGGTCGTAGTAATAGGAGCTTCTTCCAAATCCATGAGTCTGCTCCATCCTCTCTCGCTTCCCAAAAAGATTCACCCTGTAATATTACTTGCTTTACCCACATAACCCACAAAGAAACTGAGTTATTGAATAAGCGCCAAATTAATTTCCAAGCAAACACCGTAGAAACATCTTTCAACATACGAACACCCAAACCTCCTTCTTGCTTCATTTTGCACACCTATTCCCACGCAACTTTTTCCTTTGTTGTTATGTTTGGTGACCCACTCCAGAGGAAAGCTGAACACATACTTTCAATCTCATCAATGCAACTTTGTGGGAGATTAAAAGCATAGCACCAAAAGTTAGTGATACTAGATTAAAAGCAGAGCACCAAAAGTTAGTGATACTAGCAATAACCGACTTGAGCAAATGCAACCTCCCAGCAAAAGTGAGAGCTTTACTGGTCCAAGAAAGCAGCCGCACACGGATTTTTGCAGTCAAAGGCTCATAGTCACTCCTAGTCATTGTTTTGGTTGTAAGGGGAAGCCCAAGATATTTAATATTCAACAACCCTTTTTACATTTGATTAGGGATGGACATTCAGATAACATTTGGTTCGGTAAGATTCTGTTTGATTTAGATCTTTTTTGGTTTGATTCGAATCTTTGCAGGTTCGGTTTGGGTTTATGTTCGGACAATCTATTTAATTTTCTTAAAAAGATTAAAGTTTATATATACTTTTAATTTCTCAAAATCTAAAAATAAAAATAATATATAACATATAAATTTTAAAAATGAATGCCGAAATATTTAAACTTAACATAAAATTGGTTTATCTTAAATATTTGGCACAAAAAATCAATAAATATTTCAAGTATTTTTGGTATTCGGAGTATCGTTTAGCTATTTTAAAAATGTCCATCTAACTATTTTATATATTTCTAAATATTTTGGAAAATTTTAAAACATCTCATATATTTTGTATAATTTTAAATGTTAAATTAAAAAATAATTAATATATTTAAGTATATAAATCAGGATCGAGTACACTCGGATACCCGAAATATTTCTATTCAGATACGGTTTTATAGATACCAAAATTTTGAATCTGATTTGATATCTAAACAATTTTGGTTAAAGATATGTACTACTTTTTGGATTAGATTTGGTTCGGTTATTTGGATTCAATTCTTTTGCACAACCCTATATTTTTTTATTGTAACAACACTTTAAACGAAAGGGATGTTTGTTCATATTGATTTTGGGTATGCAACTATTTTTTTTAAACCAAAGCACACTCTATTATGTACGTGATACATTTAGATAATCATTAAAAATTGTTTAAGATCCATTAAAACGATTGGTTGAACTAAGAAACGTTACCTTTTATCACAAAATTTGCAATGTGAAACTTTTACTATTTTTAGTAATTTATGGTCCTTTTAAAAATCCAAAATAAAACATATAAGAAAAAATCTAATTTTTTTATTATATGATTAATGTGATTGTCTAGTTTCTTTTTATAATATAAATTAAATAAAAAAATAGAATAAAAAATTGTTATCAAATATTTATTATTCATAATCATTAATTGTGATATATATGTTAATCATATTAGGTAGTCCGTATTTTTCATTT